CAGTTTTCCCAACATTTCACACATGAATTAGACTTATTATATGCTCAAAGAATTGCGCACTTACCTTGAATGATGTTCATCCTATTCTGATTAGTCTGGGCTAATAATTCCACTAGTCCCCGATGCATCGATGGATCTTCATAAGAAATGTTCACAGGCAGCAGAGTCATAGCTAGGGTTTTCAGCGCCCAGAGACAACTGAAGATTTCGCGCCCCCTACTGCTTGCCAAGGATGGAAAACATTTAATTCTAAAATGTCGTAACATCAGTTTGGCGCCCCTTGTATTCTGCGCCCGGGGACAGATGCCCCCTTGCCCCCCTCTAGCTACGCCCCTGCAGATTTAAGCTAGTCGGAGTAGTCCTGCAGGGTCTTCAGAAAATTCAGAGCCTTAATAAAGTCAACTTGATCATAACAGGGCTTAACTGCTGGTTAAGTATATCATCCATTTCCCTATCATCTAAATTAGGGGTCTTCAACCCGTGGCCCGCGGGTCGTAGGTGGCCCGCTGAAGGCATTTTAGTGGCCCCACATTTGAATTTGAAGAATTAAAAAAAATTAAATTTTGATTTCAAGAAAAATTTCCTTGTCAGCTTTTGTCGTAAAAAAAATTTTTTTTCTCTTATTCTTGATATTTAAAACGTTTTATTCACATGCCTGATATTATTTGAGATAAAATTTTCTGAAAATGCCGAATTTTGAAAAATTTCACTTTATCTTATGTAATATGTGTTCCACCTGAACTTCAATTAGAATTTATAGATCTACAGTGTGACTCTGCAGTAAAATGCGAGTTCCTCGAAAATCCTGCATTAAATAATTTTTATTCGAAGTACGTAACCGAAGAGAAGTCCGAAGACAAGTATCCAGGAATTCGTAAACCTGCACTCTTCATGTCTTCTGTCTTTAGCAGTACCTACATATGTGAATTTCTTTTTAGTAAAATGAAAATCCTAAAATCAAAAACAAGAACACAGCTGACAGACAGCCATTTGAAGGATACTTTACGAATTGCAACAACACAGATTAAACCGGATATTGAAGCTTTAATCAAGCAAAAACAATGTCAAATTTCACATTAAAACTAAAGTAACTACCATCACCCACCAGTAATGCAAAGAGGTTTTTTTTATTATTATTATTTTTATTGTAAATGCATTTTTAACATTGTTCTGTACAATCACCTTCATACTTTTTTTTCATCCTTAAAAAAAAGTTCAAAACATTTTAATTCGATTTCTATTTGACTTTTTGAAACCAATGTATATATATATGCAAATCGGTAACACTATCTCTTTGCTTAGAATCAGTTGCAGTCTTGTAAAACAAACCTCCTTTTTTTACATAAATTTTCTGACTACACTATTTTTTAACAGACGTGTGGCCCACGGATCTTTGTGAATTTATCGATGTGGTCCTCGGGCGTGAAAGGTTGAAGACCCCTAATCTAAATCATTGTCAGTGTCCAAGTCCGAATCAAAAACTGAATTTTCATTTTCGCTTTCAACATCTACCATATCTTTCAAAGACATGCAGAAAAACCACAAGGCTCGAAGATAAAAATCGTAAAGCGCAATCACTATTCGAAAAGTAAGCATTCTAATTCAAGAAACGCGTGGTCCATGAACAGCTCACAGAAATTCTTCCTTCATGCTCGACATCTGCAGGTGGAATCCAGATGCTCTTTTGTTAGTACTAATACGAGAATATATACATATTAGCAAACCTATCTTTGTGTATGATTTGAGTACATGCGATATTATTATTAAATTCACGAGATGCTAAGAAAATTTATGATGCTCTTTGCGCAAATAGTCAAATGTATGTGATTTTATGTCATAAGTTCTTATTGTTGTTGAATAAATTTTCGCGTCTAGAAATACTACTGTTCTCATATTTTCTGATCCAACATCTGAAGTTTATGAAAGGAAGCTACAAACGTCACATCTGTCGGGTAGATATAACAAAACTAAACATCAGCAGCTTTAACTCTCTTGAACAAATATCATCTTAACGTCAATGAAACATATTTTGTTCCTTTCCATTCCAGTCAGAGGACGAGTCTTAATAGATCGCAGTATGGTGGTTGCTCTACTACTTACAACACCCAGACTAGTACCTAAGTCGTCTACAGACGATTTGGCGCTTGCATGTCACACCTGCACGGTATGGATTTCGAAGCGGGGACCACGTAGTCTCAGAGGCCCCTTGATTGCTCCGAGTCGAATAGGCCTCGTCGCCAGAGTAGTCTGACCCGTCTGGAACAGATGTATGCTCCGGCTAAAATAGCCCCTGATTGTACCTAATGTTTAAATTTTTTAAAGGATTTTGTCAGATTTCGCACGAAGCCTTATTCCGGCTTAATATTTTCAAGTCATCTATTACCCAAAGGAAGGCCAGTCTTCAGGCATTCCTGTGTCGCATTATCCAAGGATTTCTCGACACGTCAACGGAACATCGTCAGCAATACGACATCAATTTACCGTCGATATCTGCCGCTTGTTACAGAGCCTAAAATCTTCCGGTACTTGTTAATTTTTTAGATAAATAGTAATTCTAGTCGAAAGGCACTGGAGCCCCAAATAAGAGCACATTTATGTAATTGAACCTTAATTTCAGCAGTAAATTCTTTTGATCTTGAAAATTTTATTTTGTTTTGGTAATAAAATAAAATTAAAAATAGATTCTAACTTCTGAATGCATGCCTCTCTTTCCCGAAGATGGTTGAGAAGACGAAGAGAGAATAGTTATTTTAGATACTTACTGAAGGGGAAGAATGAACTATTTAATTAGTGCAATGCAACATTTTTTGAACGTCGCTATTTAATAACGCAAAGGAAAAAAAAATGACTTTACTAAACAAATATAATTATTTTGCTTAAAATTCTTAATAATGAATTAAGGCTTTTAGAATTTGTTTCCATCTGTCTGAATTTAAACAATAATATCTTAAAAATTATTATTTTGGAAAAATTTGTGTATCTTCATGCACAGTAGTAACATCTTAACCAAAAGATTCGCCACTCGGGATTTTCTATACATGTGTAATGTGAAGATGAGTCAATTTTCGGTAAAGAAAATCCCGTTAGGACCATCCTATTGCTAAGCTTGGTTATCGTGTGCCGTGGGATAAATCAAAAGTCAGCCCAATAAAAATATAACAATTTACCAGTTTTGTCTCAAATATCGAATCAGATTCGCATTTGTTTTGCAATTATTATCGAATTATGCCTTTATCCCTGAAGTATGCAGAGCACAATTTTTCTTGTTCAGGCAATGTTAAGTAATAAATAGAACAAAGGACACCAAAAATTTGAACATGAGCTAACGTTTTTGGTAGTTGACGTAAGAATGTTTTCCTTTTAAGCTAATATTAAAAACCAAAATGACCGCCAGCTGAAACAACTGTTCCAAGGTGCTGGTGTTTCTCAATTCATTAAAGTGTTGTGTGGTAACAGTTGGGGCAAAATAATATGAACAATTTCATTACAGGACCTTTCCTCATACGTAAATTAATAACTTGAATTTTTCTTAAAATAAATTCTGTCAACTCTTCGACCTTAGTTTGATACTTACTGTATAATTCAGCTACTAACTTTGTTTTGCTTTGACCACGGGGAATGCTTCTACAAGGGCGGTTTTGAATCTTTCAATTGTGTATGTCTCACTTCCTATTTCTTCTAGTAAACACTTACCGATCCCTTTGCACCAGCTTAAACTTATCCTCGTTGGGCGGTAGTTACTATGGTTATTCTTTGAACTTCTGGGATCGGGTACAACAGTAAGTGGTTATCCAGCTGTTCCAAAAGATTAGTGATCGATGCTCTCTAGTCGAATGTCACTGCAGGTTTTATTTCAGCCCCGCCTAACCAAACCCATCCACTGGGTTTACAAATTAAAATAACTATTAGTAAAAATAAATTAAACTTTGCTCCCTACAGTTTAGGTAATTATAGTAGACGAAAACTCTCTAAAATCTTCTGAAACATTTCATCTTCTTATCAAGTGAAAACAACATGTTTGCATCATGCCTGCGATCTAGGCACGATGCAAACGTATTGTTTCAGATTCATGACACGATGCCAATTGCGCGATTTTAAGGTAGATGGGAGGGGGGAAATAGTCAGTCAATCAGAAATGTAAAAGACTTTTTCTCTTTGGGGGGTAGGATCTGTAAGCTTTCAGATTTTATGTTACGCCCAAAGGAGCGTTTTTTTTAACGTTTTATATGATACCTTTATTTATTAAATATCCTGTTCTTCGCACTTAAACCATAAAATTAAATTCAATAGCAATATCGCAAAATAATTTTAAAATGAGCATATCTTTAAAATTTACACAGAGAGTATAAAAATGTTTTTTTGTTAAAAAAGATAAATTGAAATCGTTGAGTTTGTTAATCGAAAATTCGTTAAAGTGTTACAAAATATGAAATCGATAACAAAACAGATTCTTTGGAGGATTACTTTATTCAGAATTGGATGGCTCTAGGTACCGTTGTTTTATCACAATACGGGAAACATATATACATTTACGCAGATTTTTCCCTATTTAATTTCTTTAAATATAATGCAGGGCTCTAACATTTTGTAGCAACAAATTGAAAAGTGAAACTCCATAAAATGCCAAAAGGAAATTAATAGCCCTTCTGGGCTAACGCCCTTTGGGCTAATAAAACTTTTAAAACAAACAAACAAAAAATTGCTAAACTAGCAGAATTTTATAAAAGTAGGAACTCTTGGTACCATGAAGCCGGAAAACATAATTATTAGTAACTTCATAACTGAAAACATTTGTGTTGTCTCTTTAACTTTAAAAATCCGTCTTATACTAGAACTGGCTTATACAAGCTCTAACATGAAGGCAGTACTATTTAGATTTACTTCATAAAATTAGCAGCAATTAACTAATTTTGCACCTGGGAAGGGTAATAAATGCATAATGATGTAATGGCCTTAAAGAAAATAATCTGGCCATGTATAAAATGAAATTTATTCTAAAAAAGACTTATTTTCACTTTCGCAAATTATGAAAAACATGTGATAGATATGAGCATTGCAGTAAGAAGTATAAATTACAAAACTCCTGAATTTTAATTATCAGTCTGAATCTTCACTTTCTTCGCTTTTCACCAGTTTACTCGTTTTAGGAGTTTTTGATGATTTAGAGTACGGAATAAGCCATCCTATTGGCTTTCTTCCGATGGACATTTGACTCAAAGAAGTATGCATGTATCTGGCCAAAGTTGTTAGAAGAGCCTAAGGAATGAGAGAAGAAAAAGGCTTTATAAAATGCTAGTAATGGGAATTTATGATACTAGAATTCACAAATTTATATTTAGAAAACATTTGATAATAATTGACAAAATCCAACCTAAATCAAGCTATTGTTGCTAAATGCCTAGCTGTGGTAAGATAGCTTACGTAAGGGTTACTAGAAAGTGGCAAGGAAAAGCAAGGTTGCGAGATTTGGCGCGAAAGCATCCAATTGGTGATTGGTGATTCCGCCCAATTGGTGGTTCCGCCATAGAAATTCATCCATTCTAGAAAGTATTCTTAGCGGTTTTCTTCGGGAATGCTCTCGAAGGTAGGTTAAAGCTATGTATATCCTGCCTGTACGCTGAGAAAGGGGGTATCTTGAGTTCAGTAGTAGTATAGTAGTGTCTTGGTATGTGTATTGGTGTATTTAATTATGGCAAAGCACACTAGGGGTATCTGCCTAAGGGGAGGGATGCCTTCGTGGAGGGCGTTCTAAGGGAAACTGGCTCGTATACACGTTACACATGGGGAAAACCACGAAAACGCCCATGCAGCCAGCCCGTTTGATAGTAGTGTTTTGAGTTCAGAGATTAGCTTGAGAGCGATCGACTGAGTCAGGAGCTGTACTTTAGTGGTTTGTCGGCAAGCTATCTTTACCGTTATAGCATGAAGACTGTGCTGATGATTGTTTCAGCGTGTTTGTCGTAGTTTTTCAACGGCTGTAAACGTATCTTTGAAACTGTCCTGTGTAACACTGGTGAGAAATTTGTGTTTTGATCCTCCATCAAGTGTTATCGTCAATCACTCAAAATCCTAGAACCCGTAGAACGCAACACTATGTTTGATGGAAAGAAGCTTATCATCGCTCAGTTACCTTTACAGAAATAGAAATAATTCTGTGCACTTCCTAATAATGGATGATTTCAGCAGAAGACGATGGTGGTTTAATGTTCTCAACTAAAGAAAAGAAAGACAGCTATGGAAATGAAGCATAAAATCAAAAGATTTGGTATTACACTTTAAAATGTTTAATAATGTTTTTAATGTTAAAATAAAAGTTTGACACTTTAAAATAGAAGTTTGACAGATTCTTCGTTATGTGAAAAGATCCAATCTAATTCACTAGCTAAAGTTATTTAAGTGAATTTAGCTGGAAGAAAACTGAAAGAGAATTGAGAGATTAACGAGGACTTCCAATGGAGAATTTAATAATGTTTAGAAATGTATTTTAAAATGTAAGATTTGTTTTAAATGAAACTGCTGCACCAAAAAATTATACTTTCCGCTTTAATAAGCTTCGTATTTTTTAAAGTGATGTTTAGAAATTGGTTTAGTGACCGAAAATGGTATCAAAACGATATAAAGTGTTTTAAAGTTCTTTTAGTTTTCTTCTATGTAGCGAAATATATCCGCCAACTCCGCCAGAATTCAAATCTGGCATAGGGTTTTTAATTTGAATGCACTTAATAAAAATAAAAATCATTTGCAAACTGAGTTTATGGAGCTTTTGATTTAATTTTGTAACTAACTGAAAGGAGAGAAAGAATAGAAAAACATTGTTATAATGGCTTAAATTTAATAATGCTACGTATAATGGTGTCATGAATAAGTCTTATTAATGATATTTAGGCTCGACTCCAACATTTTCGATATCCTAGATTATAGGTTCTCAACCTTTTGACAAACGTGTACCATCTAAAAAAAACTGAAAAAATTTAGTATCACCACTACGTTTTATAATCATTATTTTTCAATTTCTCAATATATATATACTTATATTTTGCCATTTGCACAACTTATTGGCTATTTTATTATACCTGCGCACATAAAAAAATATTAGATTAAATATGGTTACCATTTCAATTATAAAAATTTAAGCTATAATTATGAATTTAGTGTGAAATTTGGCCCCATTTAAACGATATCAGTTTCTTTATGTTTAGCCTTATTTCACTTAGTTTTAACGGTAAAGTAGGATCCACTTTTAATTTTGTTCTGTGTTTACTTTTGAAATATAACATAGAAAATAATTCTTGTTCACACAAATAAGTTGTGCAAAAAGTCAATAAAAATTTAATAGCTTTAGTTGAAATACCTTTGAATTCTTTTTTTCGGTTCAGTCAAAAGTTAACAAGTGTGTTATATTTAAAATCTTCACTTAGAGTTCGATCACAGGAAATTTCTAACAATTATTCTTTTTCTTCACGAGATTTTTGAGTTTATATATAAAAATGCTTTGTTTCTTTGCGTACCACGTATTTTTCTATGGCGTACCACCGGTTGAGAAACGCTGTTCTAAACGATCATTATGCTTGGTGTCTTGTGTAAATTGAACACTAATAACTGAAAGCGGCGAAATATATATTTATTTCGCTACCACTTATAAGAAACTTATCTGACGCTCTCAGATATTCGTCACCCGAGGCGAAAGAATTGTGCCGTTTAATCTTATAGCTAGCCACGGAGACAGCTCGATTTTTTCTGGGAACGCACTAAGCCTTTCGGTTTGAAATCAATGTCTAACAGTTATCGAATTCCTTTAATAATCAATTTTGATCGTTTCCCTTCTATCCTTTTCATATTACATATACACTGAAGTGCCACTGAATTAGGGATAGCTGGTCAATAATGAGTTGGACCTCCTCTGTCCTTTATAATGGCTGCCAAACGACGAGGCATAGATTCATTCTACGGGAACGGTTTGCCAAACATCGGATGGAGCTTTCTATAATTTAGGAAGAGGCGCTGGTGTTGTGTTATGAGGTTTGAAACCTCTCTCCAAAACGTCCGAAAGATGCGCAGTAGAATTTAAGTCCGGGCTTTTAAGTAGCCAATTTATGACAGAGAAATCAGAAGAATGCTCATCCAACCAGGCATTAGCCAACCGGAACCTGTGAGAGGTGCAGTTATCTTGCTGGGATACTCCATTTCCGTGGGAATAACAGGACAACATAAATGGATGGAGATGATCGCTCGACAACTCTACGTACCGAATCATACTAAGAGAGTTTGGTACAAGTACCAAAGATCCCAAACACTGCCAAGAGAAAACATTCCAGACCATGAGTAAGCCACCATGGCCTTGTACAGTTCCAGTCTGCCATACAGGATTCATGGCTTCATGAGTCTGACGCCATATTCTCAGCCTCCCATCGGTATTAATTAGTCGGAATCGAGACATCACTCCATACTACTCGTTTCCAGTCCGCTAGAGTCTATTCTCTGTGTTCTTTTGCTCAGACAAGAAATACAGCTCGATAACATGCATTTAGCAAAAGTGCTGTCGTGGATCTTCGGCTTCCAAAGCCCATATGGTGAAGCGGGCGTTTACGATCCTTTTATTGACTATACGACTGTCGCCCTTATTCACCTGGGTGGTATTTTGAGCTTATGTTTGCCTTTGTTGACTACGTACAGTACGGCTGAGCCGTCTCACACCACGCTCGTTCTAGGTTAATTGTCCTTTTTAATTTGCCCGATCACCAGTTCTTTTTCCCACCATCCGTGTATTCTCGGTATATTCTTGACTCTGTCGACCTTGAAAATCATAGCCCGCTGAGGATTTTGGAAATTGAATAGTCCATGCGTCGAGTGCCTGCTATGTGTCCGAGATCGAAGCTGTCTAAATCAGAAGTTTTACCCATACCGGTAACTGAAACGACTGATTAACAACAACCATAGTACTAGCTACATATGCAGTTACCACAACACTCTCACGTGCGCATAAATGCAGCGCAGCGCTACAAAATAGAATATTTTTTGTGATGTCTGTAGGAATGTGAAGCAAGTGCATCTTGAAATATGTCCAAAAAATTAAGGCAATATATTAAAAGGGCATAAATACAGGTATAGCGTACCAGGGATATTTTGGCATTAAAATCAAGAAAATAGCTCTTTCTCATGTCAGTTTTACAACGGCCAGATACCTTATTCCCATAAACATTTTTATCAATTTATAGTTAGTCAAAAAAGTATACGTCAAGTACGAGAAAACTGGTAAGTAGTATTTTAGGCATATCAACTTATTAGAACGTAAGGAAAATAAGAAACCTCATATCTTTCAGTAGAATTTGAAAAACGTTTTCTGAAAAAATGGAACATTGAAAAATAAATAAACGCGAGAGGCATGTATAAATATTCAGAGAACAAAATTAAGCATAAATTACTACTAGCTATTTTCAATAAAACCCGAAGAATTCTAAAATACTTCAATGTTTTTGACGTATTTCAGAAATTTTCTCTGAATCTTTGTATTTCCATACTCTTCGATTTCAATTTGTAATCCATTTTATCTTCTGGATGAACATTAGAAGATATGCATATCTTGATTACAGATTTCTTAAACAATTTTGATACAACAAGTGCTACATAATATATATATATATTACTCAGTAAGCACATTTATAAATATTAAAACTCATTTGAAGCTCTAGGCTTTGCATTTTTATTTGTTTAGGCAGCTAAAATATCTTGAGACAATTCTGTATCAAAAAATCATGTAGGGATTGATATTACGATTTATCTGCCTACGTAGCTGTCTTTTGCAGTCGTAATCTAGACAAAACTGGAGCATTTTCCCCTTAGGTATAGTGAAAGGTCATTACTAGTTCCCATAGTGGATGGGACATTGATTTTTAAAATATTAGTGGTAGCTATTTTGAATTACTTTGAAACATTTGTTTGTAACTGACAGTTTTGGACACGAGTGGAAAAAGAAAGTTTTTCTCATATTCAGAGAACTGAAAGGAAAGGCCGGTTTATCTACAATACCATAAATTAGAAAATATATCTAAGAGCGAAACAAACGTTTTTTTATGTAACTCTAAAATAATGCCTTAAAATAAAATTGCAATCATTGATTTAGATTGTAATATGCATCTAAAAATAAAAAGAGAAAAAGATTTTTAGTATATAAATTGAGAACTATTCAGTTTAAAATATGTACGATGCTAGGAAAAATATTCAGATAGTGGCGGAAGGGTGTTCCGCGCAACATTTTACATCTCATACCTCTTTACTGAAGTAACAGATTGGTAATTACCAGTAAGAAAAAAGAAATGAGTACAAAAATTCCAACTCCTGCAAATATCTTGTGCCCTAAGAAATTAGCCAGGGCTTCTTGACATCCAGTTGTATGTAAAGTTAAATCTGTGGGATATTTGTATTTGGAATGATATTGGCTGTCCTCGATTCTGGTATCAACGCATGGACGAAACATGCCCCACTTGCAGCAACTGAATGGTACGTCTTTGCCAAAATAACGACCTTTCTTTGTTAACCTAAAGAAAAAAATATGATGATAATGTATTATTATAAATATGTGCATGCATTGTAAGTATTCAAACTGTTCATCATCACTGTATGCATGCATCGTAAGTAGTATGCATGCATCATAAACTGTATTACATGCATCGTAAGTAGTCAAACTGTTCCTCCATACTTTGCGTTAGAGAAAAATTATACATTTCAAAATCCTTGCTTAATTATTTATGCTGTTCGCATCATCTATTTACGCCTTCTCGTACATTTTAAACCATGCATAGGTTATGACATTTAATATAAAACCAAGCTTAATTTATTTAAGATGTGGACTGGGTTGTCAGGATGTAAATTAAGTGCTCGTCATTCTGTAAAATATGTCGAAAATTATTTGCAGACAACGTCATCTTAAGGGGACTCATACCCTTAAACCTCTCATGATCTTCGAATATGTGACTGTTGCAAGAATTGGGATATTTTATTTATTTTAAAAGCAATTACTTCCAACTTTTTACAGTTGACTACATAACATAGCTGCTTTGGAAACTAGTAGCCAGAAAGTTTGTGTTGCCACAAATATTTTTGTAATTTAATCCTCTTTGTCACAAAATATTTCGCCGTGTTTCCACCTTTCAAGCATGATATTTTAAAAATGGCTAATGGTACATACTTGAAATTGGATGGAATTCTTTATATTGGCACTATTTTCTAACTGAACCAACAATCTGATGAATATTTCAATATTGAAAAATTTTATGGCCAAAAACATTACAAATTTTTTTAATAAAATACATTTTATAAATTCAACTCAAAATAAAATAAAAATTTAACATGAAATTTTTAGAACTTTAGATTCACATTAGTTTCCAAATGTTATAAAAGCTATATATTAAATATGGAATTAAATTATGAAACAGAATGTTTTAAACTGTGCGCGCAAGTTGGAAACATGACGAAAAATGCTGTCACAAAGCGGATTAAATTATAAAAAATATTTGTGGCAACACAAACTTTCAGATTCTATTTCAGAAAGAAAGCTAGAAAGCTTCGTTTTCAGAAGAAAAGGTATTGTAAAGCAAATGCTTGAGATGCGCACTTAAGAACGTAATAAAAGAGTTTTGGAATATGTATTGTTGAAATGAAGGGTAAAAAAAAAAATCTCATAAGTATAATTAAAAGAATTATTCCCTTTACATTTTATAATAACTCAGTTACAAGTTTTAAATAATACTTAAAAAAAAAAAAAAAAACTTATTTTATTCCCTTTCAGAAATGTTCAGAGAAAGTCAAATACTATTTAATACCTATTTAATTATTAGGAATTAGCGAAATACTTATTTAAAGTATTTCGATAATTCCTAATAATTCTCTATTTTAAAATGAACCGAATAGAGCATGAATTATAAATTGACTTACATTTTTCGATTTAAAAGAAGCCAAAAAATCATGTCATATTTAAGAAAGTATTTTAGGAAGAAGCTCTATAAATAGAAAAGAAATAATGCATAATTTTAATATTAATAATACAATAAACTTTGATCTTAGTTTTTGTACCTAAACCGAATAAAATCGAATTACATTAATTTTTTTTTCTAATGTAATTAACGAAAACTTGTGAAAATATTTCATTCAAATTAAACCATTCTGAGAAAACTGTCCTGTGAAAAGTATAGCATTTAATTCCGTTCAGAATGAAATGCTGTTTAAAAATATGTTGTTTCACATACTTAGGACTCTGAAGTGTTGTAGAAAAAGAAAATATATACATTTATATGTATATTTGCGACGTAATTACAAAATATTTACACCCGAACGCGTCAAATCCCATAGAACTCAATGGTAAATGACCCAATGTTTTGGTCACCACATAGGGATCGCCGGTGCTTCAGAGCAGGGTACGGAGAAACTTGTTTAGGGCGACTCCATCTTACTCCCTACCTCCATGGTAATAATAGCTTAAGAGAGAGTAGCCTAAAAAAGGCGGACGCGTGCAGACAGAATACCTGGTATCTCTCTCACTAAGACAGAAGAACTTCGCGGTTAAATACTGCTCTTCCTGAATTATGTATTTAAGACACGATTCTAAAACTATGTTATAGCCGGAATTTAGTAAGTTGAAAGTTAAGAAACGACAGGAAAGGAATTTTAATTTAAAATTTAACTGTTGATAAAATCAAGCAAATACAAATCTTTTCTGTTAAATTCAAGATTCATAGTTCTTACTTTAAACAATAATCTGCTAATAGTATTTGATATACTTTGTAATACCTCAAGGATTTTTAGCGAACTTTCTTTTTTTTTTTTTTTTTTTTTTAACTTCCTTGTACGAAGTGAAAAGGAAGTATTGTAATCGCGAAAAGTTTCAGGCAGCATATTTCAACGAAAATATCCATTTTGACCGCTATCGAATGCAATTTAACGATGTTTTTGCGTGATATCTGTACGTAAGGACAGAATAAAATACTCTTTTCCTTCAAAAAAAATTATAAAACTGCTTTAAAATTAATTCTGAAGAGAATTTTTCGTGGCGTCTGTACGTACGTGCGTACGTACGTATCTCGCATAACTCAAAAACGAGTAGCCTCAGAACATTGAAATTTTGTATATAGGACTGCTATAACATGTAGATGTGCACCTCGTATTTCGGTTTCAATCGGCCGCACCAAACGTATATAAATATATTTATATATATATCCACTCTATTACCCGGCTCAGTGATCTCAGTTTCTTTACTCTTATATGTTTGTAAATTGTACATTTTTTGCTTTAAAAATGATTGAATTATGTTGTTTTTATCTTCCGGTTAAAGTTTTTATGCCTTTCGTAATTCCGGAAGCAATATTTGTACAATTATCAACAATTTAAAAGCTGTTTAAGTGCGGTTAAGTTTTTAAATAACATGGCGGACATTATTTGTTACATTTGAAACAGCAGAATTATAGATTTGTTTCCAATCTCTAGAGAGACTTAGCTTCGCAACAACAAAAATAACGCCTTCATACATTATTACTGCGAATTAAATCATGCTTAATCCTTTCTGGAATTTTTTCGAGGCAAATAAGTGTTTAAGATTTACTTCGTAATTTTTAATACAGATGTTTTGAGTTTTTATGTATTTTTGCCTTTTCTCGCGAAGTGAGAACTGAATTAGATTGAATGAGAAATACTCAATCGTCTGTGAAAAACTGTTTCTTTTTTTGTTTTGTTTGCTTAATTTCTTTATAGTACATTAGTTCTAGCTTTATTATAGTATTTGAATAGAACATGTGGCAACGATTCGATAATTCTTTAAATGATATACATTTTGTGCATTCTGAGTTATAATATGAACGAAATATAATACTGTTAAGTAAACCTAGCGCCAGAGTGTCGCTACGGTAAACATAGTGAATTTTAAAGAATGCATTTATTCTATTGTGGTTTATGCGCTGTCGGCGAAGTAGGTTTAATTCAATCTAATAAGTTTAAATAAAATGCAAGAAAAAGTGCGTATAATTTAATATTCCGTATAAGGAAGTCATGTGGTGTACACATCAGATTTTTTAAATTTCAAAATTGGTTAGCCATTCTGTTATTTTGCTCATAATTTGAGCATATAAAATCTAAAATTCTTATTTCAAAAGCATCCCTTAAAAGCAGTATTTAAGCTTATAATACGACTACTAGACGGAAAAGAGAAATCTTTCAACATTTTTTCTTAAGAATATTTTACGAAACTTTTATGATTAACGAATGCTAACTTCATATGAAATTCACTTGATTTAGTGTTAGTGTTGTTATTCATCACTTCACAAACTTTAGTTCAAAGAGCCTATTTTTATTTTGTATATAAACGCTAAGTTCAATATTATTTTAACGAGTTTCAATATTATTTTATATTATTTTATTTATTCAATATTATTTGAACAAGTTCAATATTATTTTAACGAGTTCACATATGTATTCTCTACATAAACGCCAAGTTGTCACAGAAATTTGCCTTCAGACAAAGAGTACTGGAATCAAGACGTGTTTATGACCCGTACGTTCTCAATATTAATGTGAATTAAAATATAAAAATATTCTGCTATATTCGCGTAATTTTTTTCGGCAAATGATAGCTGATATCAGTGATGCTGAATGGATGCTTCTCGGAACCGCGGGGAAAGCTACAAATAAAGTTTTAGGTAATAAAAAGAATACATGCGTCTTTTTTCTCACAGGAAGTGAAATATTTTTGCTTTCTGTTTCATAGAATTGATATGCAATGGGATGTACATGGGAACAAGCCAGGTTTCTTAAGTGCACGTAAATGAATTAGAAATGATAAAAAATTATCTGATGGTTAGAGATCTTTTTATATAATTCTATGCTTCATTATCTACTATCACATTTCATTTTTAGCCATTTCATGTCTCAAGAAGGCTCTAGTGTATAATTGGGTGCCCCTTCGATTAGGGACAATTTTTTAAAATTTTGGCTATGAAACCGCACTTCTGGTTACCATGATAGTTTAAACTTTGTTTTAGCTTCCTGATTTTATTTAAATGAAACCAGATTGATGTGTACATGAACACAGAGTTTGTGCAATTCTTTGACTTCTTTTTTGTGTGGCGGCTATCTTGAAATTGTGCTCTCCTGACGCCGATCTTGGCATCAAAAAAGAAACGCCAAAAAACAAGAGGCATCCAATTGTAAACTTTTACCCTAAAGAAATATTTTCATAGTGTCAGTTTCCTGAGCGTACTTGCTCTATTAATCGAATTTGCTTAGCTTCTCAACTTGTGAATCACAAACGTGAAATATTATATTTATATTCATGTACTATAAAGTAGTTTCTCATTCTTTCCAGCAATCTTTCGTGCTACAACGGTTAGCACTAGGCATTAGTGTCTCAAATACACTAGGCGCGTATTTGAGAGGTCCAGGTTCAAGTCCCAGAGAAGGTATTGTTCATTTTTCACGTCTCCTGCTTCGAAATAACCTAATATATCTACTGTGGCTTCCGAACTAAAATGTGATGGATAATGATTCATTCTTC